ACACACACGACACGCGCACACACACACACACACACACACACACACACACACACACACACACACACACACACACACACACACACACACACAACACACACACACACATACCGATCACGCCTCCGTAAAAAATACATTAATATATCTAATGGTTTATTGAAGTTAACAGTGATAACAAATTGCTTCCGGGAAATGCCATTTTTCCTGTGGAAAATTCACTCGGACTTCTCAAATCTGTAATCCCCTTATCGTAAATATTAATGCATACAAGTCAAGACTTTCATCGAGAAAAGATTTACATACAAACACAGCACTCTGTATGCTCCGTATTTTGTCATTTTTTCGGTGATAAGCTGCAGAACATTGCTATAGATTCTAAGCTTTATCGTGTTCTGTAAAGAGAAATGTTTGCATTTGAATTGCTAGCCAACCCGCGAGTAGTAAAAATGGACGTCGCCTGAAGTCCCAGCTATATGCACTTATTGGGAAAAGCAAGATTAATCTTCGCACTTGGTTATTATATTTTTATTTCAATTGCGTGGAATTCTGTCCTAAGCCGGAGATATACGAACCTACAATTTCACATAGAATGTGCGTGGATTCAAAGCAGTGGCTAGACGGAGGGCAGTACTCCAAGCGACCATTCACTGTATACCCAGTAATGAATGTTTTATAGTTGATCGTCGCATTTAAAGTTAATTATTTTTGCCCGGAATTTGGATAACTGATTGTCGTACTAACGATTATGTAGTTTAACCGGTTTTAACTCACTCTTGTTTTAGCCAATCATATAGGTCAAGCTTAATGTAACCGAGAAAATGTTATTAAAATTTATTAAACTTTATATTAATTTTATTTACTTAATATTAATACGAATGGAGCTAAGGAAAAAGCACTTACAGAGATATAGCGCAGTTGTAGCGACGGTAACTAGCAAAGGTCTTTTAGTCTTGTATTGCGGAACCAATTGAAGACGGTGTAATAATAGAAGCTTTTCATATAAATAACCCGACCATTTACCATAACCGTGATCGTCACTCGAATCACTAGCAATAGTTTTATTCATGGGAGAATAATACGGCGCCTAGCGAATGCTTGAGTTCAACTGTCTCTGTCCACGGCCACAGACACACTGGGTGTCAGGCGTTGATTGATCTCTCTCTCTCTCTCTCTCTCTCTCTCTCTCTCTCTCTCTCTCTCTCTCTCTCTCTCTCTCTCTCTCTCTCTCTCTCTCGCGCGCGCGCTCTCTCTCGTGTGAATATCAGAACATCCACTTGACATCCGGGCACTTTAACATATATATGCAGGCTTAGTAGGTTATCACAGCCGTATCGCTACGTCAAACCGTTTCATGTTATTATTGAAGAAACAGTCAGGAATGCACTGCTAGCGAAGTCAGCTATACGCTTTACATGATAATAACAGGAAATCAATTGGAATTATGCATGAATCATACACTCGTGTATGTCGGATAGAGCGGGTACTCTTCACAGCAACACATTGTATTGTAGCGGTCGGTTACATACTTACCTTGCTTTAGTGCAGGTTTTCTTAGAATAGCAGAGACGGTTTCCAGTTCCGTTGATATTTACATATTAAGAGAGGTCCATACATAATTATCTTTATATTGCTTTATATGCCTTTATATTCTCCAGACAACGCTTATAATATTATTTACATATTTTACACTTTACTGCTTACATATTCTGTTGTTGGCTGGCGTGTTCATATCGTGGCATACTTGCGCATGCATACTAACAGCATTTGCAGAACTACCATGCTGTATAAGTTCACCATTACACTAGTTACCGCCCACCCCCCACCACCCAACTAATCTTTTCAGTCTCGTAATGCATTCATTACACATCTCGTACAACACCTGTAGAGTTCTACCTATTGAAATTTTAGAAGCTACCTGTTCACCTGCTCTCTCGGTGCTTTTACCGCAGAAAGTTTCCCAGTATGTCTCACGTATTTTCGCGTTTCCCCTTCTCCCCCTCTAGCATCGCCGGCTCGCTGTCAAATTGCTTTCGGCAGTGGCGGCGTCGGTGATCCTCAGGGGACCCTGCACTGCACTCCATTCCGCCATCAAGGCTTCGCGCTGACGTGATTGTGGGTGACTGAACAAAGTTTTTTTTTCCATTTTAATTTATCAAAGAAATTCCGATTTTTCCCTCAAACCGTAGTTCGTATATAGCTTAGACTGCCACCACCGAGGCTAAAACTTAATTATAATTTATATACATACAGACGGACACGCGCGAATCTATATGCGGTTGCGATCTCTCCTATTTACATAGTCGCGCCCACGGGAATCAGGTGGGAAACATTTTGGTGAGATTTTTATGCGGGTGCGATCGGTGAACATGTAATAACTAAAACACGGTAAAGCTACTGCATGTAAAACTGAATTGCGTGAGAGAGGGAGGGCGTCGCTGGATGCTGTCGTCTGATACTCGGCCCTGTGTATGCGCTCGTCTCCAGCTCGTCAAAGATTGCGCGCGTCGGGTCGGTCGTCTGCGAGGGAAAATGAATTTATCGTCTCACGTTCTCACTCGATTACCCGGGTAATGTAAATCTATTCAACATCAAGAGGAAGAGGGAATGGGTAGAGAGATTGTGCGTGTGTGGGGGGGGGGTTGTTTTGTGTGTGTTGTGTGTGTGTGTGTGTGTGTGTCGTGTGTGTGTGGGCCGTGTGTGTGTTGTGTGTGTGTGTTGTGGTGTGTGTGTGTGTGTGTGTGTGTGTGTGTGCGTGCGTGTGTGTGTGTGTGTGTGTGTGTGTGTGTGTGTGTGTGTGTGTGTGTGTGTGTGTGAGTGTGTGTGTTGTGTGTGTGTGCGTGTGGTGTGTGTGTGTGTGTGTGCGTGTTTGTGTGTGTGTGTGTGTAATGTGTGTGTCGGGGAGGGGGGTGCATGTGTGCGTGCGTAAAAGACAAATTGAGAGAACGCGCGCGGAAAGAGAGAAGATGAAAGAGAGAGGACGCACGAGAAAGCGAGCGAGCGAGCGAGAAAGACTGAGACCGAGAAGGAAAAAGAGAGACAGATAGGAGGGGGAGATTCGTAATGGCAGCACGCGCTGGCCGTGTGCCCAGTGTGCGTGCGTTGGCATCTGCGAGCGTGCTTGCGCTTCATCCACTTACGCGTGTGTGTGTGTGTGTGTGCGGGGCCCAGCAAGTCGTTGCTTTGGCATGTGTTCGTACAGCCGCGTGTGTGGTGTTTGCGTGTGTATGTGGCGCGTGCGTGTTCATGGCATGGTATATTTCCATGATTTATCTCGTGAAAACGCCAGTAGACAATAAAGTTGCTGCTACAAATTGAATACATGTCTACGCAAGCGAGTGAAAAGCCACTACGATCGTACGCTTCCAGAACAGTCGGAACAAACTAAGCAGAAGTAAACATGAAATCTTTGTTGGTTAGTAGACTTAGAGTTGTCCAGGTTTCTAGATATAATTTCTGCGGTCATAAGCTTGCATTTATAATTTCTATAGTATGCCTACTGATAACGATATTGGGCTCGCATTTGGTTTAATATTTTAAATAGAAGCGCCTACGATAGAGGGATAACCAGACTTAGTTATGTAATGTAGCTACACCGCATTTCGATAATATTTAGCTGCAATTCGGTTATAGTTTATCAAAAAACAAACGTAATCTTAAAATGAGATAGTAAACTGATTTTTGATTGAGCATTATCGATCAATGAAAATAATTATGGTTACTCATAACGTCGTGCTCATAACTTGGCATGTAGCATACCGCAAATAATCTCCCGCTGATGAACTCCTTTGCACAGCGGAGGTTCTGAATATAATCAGATATACAGACATGCGCATCATCATATGAATG